CCACTCACATCTGAGACCCCCACTGCCGGCTCTGGTCTCACCACCCAGAACCCCCCCGGGGGGGTTTATGTCTAATGCTGCTGGGCTGCACTGGGGACTCCACAGTGGGCTTTGCCTAAGAAAACCCTTAGCTCTTTATCATGTGCTTGGACTGGGGGCCAGGAGACTTGGTCTCCCGCCTTTCCTCGCCACTAACTCATCCTGAAGTAGTACTTTACCATGAAAATAGGATTTTACCATAGGCTCTCACTGACAGGAAGATAAAATGAAAGAATGGATGTTAGAGTGGTTTGAAAACATGAGTGTGTAAGGGCCACGCGGCAACAACAGAGAGATCTCCCGAAAGGCCCCTTCACTCAGCCAGATTTCTCCAGGCCTGGTGCTGCCCATAGTGTGGCTGGGCCACTTCACCTTCCACAGCCAGTCCACGGAGTGCGTGGCTGTAAAATGTGAAATCTCAACAAATGTGGAACTTGTGAAAGTAGAAGACACAATAGGTTCTGGGCAAGAGAAATAAAAAAACAGCTGTCATGAAACCCAAATCTTGGAAATCAGATGTTTTCAGGGGATTTTTTTTTTCCACCACAGAGGAGCTAGCTGAAGTGCTAGAGATGAAACTCTTAAGAACAGCAAGGGAAATAAATACACATCCATTTGCCGCTTAGGAATTGCAGGACCGTTGTGATACTCAGTCTGTCCACAGGGTGGCAGCAAACCTGTAGCGTCCGTCTCCGAGGGGCGCTGTCTGCACAGCAAAGTGAAGGAAGAACCCTTCTAACGCGCAGACCAGACGGCTCGGCCAGCCCTTTCATTTGATTGGAAGGATGAAGATATTTTCCTACCCGAGGAAGAAAAAAATGACTTATTTTTAGTGTATCTTTGTCTTTTGTTCCTTGAGCGTTGTAGAATAAATCACTCCAGTCAGTGGAACAAGAAACAAGGCCTCAGGTGGGGTCCAAAGTCGTTAGTCGTTGGAATGTTTTTTAAAAGGGGACATCACAACTTCCCAGGTCAGGTGAGAGGACATGGTCATTTATTTGCTGTTGCTGCTGAGCACAGCTCTGAATATCCTCCTCAGTGACACATTAGGTGTTTACATTAGTTGTTTGCGGGGCAGCCGCGCTGGGTGGCAGGGTGTGCTCAGCCACTGTGGGGCTGGATCGGGAGCCAGGCCTACAAGGTCATGGTCAGGGGAGAGCCAGAGACAGGAGGCCTTTGGGGAATAAAGGGCCTCGGGATTGCTGTAAATTCAGGTTCTAACCTTGGGGCTGGGCATTATTTCTTCTTGTGTGAAAAACTTAGACAAGGGAGTCACACAATTCCTGAGAGCGGACCTAAAACTATTTGGAGTGCGACCTGGTCTGGGGTCAGCTGTGCCTCCAAAAACTCCTGGCTGACTCGCCGGGTCCCTGAGGGCTCCGCCACCTTGCCCTGGCTCCTTCCCACCCACAGACCTGTGATTCCCCCGGCCAGCAATGAGCGACAGGATCTGTTATTAAAAAGAGCAATAGGTCTATATATAAATGTTTTAAGGTATATACCTGCCTCTGAGATTATCTTATTAAGAGTCCCTTAATAATAAGCCTTTCATTTTATTGCAGAAGACACTATTATAATAGCACAGCTAGGAAGGAGACACAGCTAATTATCAAGATGAATCATTTAGCGCGGTGGAAGGAAAAGTTCCCGGGTGTAAAAATATCCAGTGAGTGACATGTTACAAAATTTCCACAAAATAGATTTCCTTGTCATTTAGACCTTGATTTCTTTTCCTCACACATACCAAGAACATTCCTGATCAGCAGTCTTGTCAGGGGGACATTTCCCAGGAGGAGACGAGGAGTGAGACCTCTGTGGGGCAGTTAAAAGCCCAGGATGCTGGTGGTTGTCCCCAGCCAGTGCTGATTCCCTTCTTCTGGCTCCCTCCCCAGGGCAGGCTGTACAGTCCCTGGCTTTCACTCTGCTTGAAGTGCAGGGTCCCGGGGCCATCTCGAGCAGGATAGCGTCTTCACCACTGGCACCCGAGTGTCACGGGGGCTCTAATGAGATGGTGCGAAGGGGACCCGCCGCTGCTGGGACGTGCGGGGACACGCGCGAGCCAAGCCCTGGCCCTTTTCTCTGACGTTCCTTCGCCTTCCTCTTTTATCAACTGGCCCCACGAGCTCCCGTCTCTCTTTCTCCTTTGCGCTTAACCACCCTGTGGCACACTGTGCATTTAGTGGGGTATGCCCGCCCATCCTCCAGAACGTGGACGCCCCATGGACGCTGGCTCCCTGCTGTGACCTGACGCCTCTCTCAGGTCTGGCTCCTGGGTCAGGGCTTGTCTTACATGTCAGGTGCCCTCCATCCGAGAAGGGTGCAGAGCTGCCTCCGCAGGCCGGCCCACTCTCGTCACCGATTTGTGTTGCTTGTGGCCTGGTTCTGACCAGCTCTAAAGATGGAGGCCCTTGACCTCCAGAGCCCCCTGCTCCCCAGGAACCCTAACTCCAGCCCGTCTTTGCGTGGTGCCTGGTAATCTGGCCACGTTAAAGCCACCCCCTCTCCGGCCTGCTGAGCCTTGCTGTGTCCCTGTCTCGGGCCTTGTTTGGTTTTTCCAGAGACCTTTGCACGGTGCCAGAGAGAAAACTGACCTTTGCAAATTGGGTTAAAATGGCCGCTATTTCACCACTCTTCAGGAAGGGCAAACTGTTGTACCTATTTTTGCTATAATTACTCATTCTCTCCTACCTCATCAAGCATGAATACCTGTTTGAATTAGCATGACCTCTTAGTATTGACCTAGCTTTAGTTGCGCACAAATAACTGCTGGGCTCTTTTGTAAATAATCTAAAGTTTTGTTTTCTCAAAATGGAAAGAAAGGCAGTATCTTGCTGGTTAACACAGTTTCTGTGTTATGCTGGATTACAAGTCCCTGAGGCTGAAACAGATGTCCTGTGTCCAAAGTCAGTGGTGCACAGATCTTAGTTGAGAAGCGGGGGTTCAGTGATGGGCGCCAGGAGCCCTCACCTGCCTCCACACAGCACTGGCTACCAGGCTTCTCCCGGCCTCAGTTTCCCCAGGCCTAAATGAGGCCATCGCTGTATACTTCAGAAATACTGCAAATACGATTTTCAAAATAAAATCCCCCCCCCCCCACTACTTCCTGTCATCATTGTAACAGAACTGGATGGAATGAAAAATACTGAGACCTTTTCATATTCCTGCTGGTCTTCAGGGGCAAAACTCAGATAAGAAAGCCTGTCAGTTATACTCTTGTTTCTACTCAGAAACTCATGACCACTCACTCAAAGGCCCCTTGTTTTTAATCTTAAAACATTGTTTATACTTTCCAGCTGAACAGCACCAGATCCCAGGGTTGGCACTGGGGTGGTACTTTTATTCCCTGGGGAAAGAAATAACAGTGTGAGTTAGGGTGGGGCAGGGAGGGAGAAGACTGGGAGTTCTGGGAACTGTCTGACTTTGCAAGGATTCTCGCTGATCATCTCCAGTCCTTGTTCCAGTGCTGAAAATAACCAAGGCTCTTTTGTTTCTGGAACTTCTAAGAGGATAATGAAAAGGAATTTGGGACCCAGAGCGTTTCGCTTTGAAATGCGAGCATTTTCAAGGAGCTCTGAGTCAGACTTGGAAGGGGCACCATTTTCTTTTTGAAGAGCAGCAATATGATGCCTCCCGCCTGCTTTGTGATCTGGATATCAACCCAGCAGTTCTGCATGCAGTGCGGCCTGTGGCTTGTGGCTTCACCCACAAGAATCCGACTATCACTCTGAAGCCCTTAGTCACCCATAACTCTTAGAAGTAAAAGATTCCTTTTCTTGGGGGGAAAAGGCGACACAGAAGTGTCACTAAGTGACATTGTTTATCTCTGCGTTCCTGTGGCAGCAGCTACAAAGTTGAGTGTGTCTGTGAGTGAATGCTAGTCTATTTTCTAGCCACTTGCATTTTACCCCTGAAGAAAAGGATTTTCTTTGCAAACGAGTATGCCTGTGAGCAGGCGCTTGGGAGTCCCTGAGGCTGAGAAAAGTGCAGTGGCCAGTTCTCAAGTTCAAGGAGGAAAAACAAGGTCGTGCTTTGTCTGGGAGACTCCTTTTTACTGGCCCCGACAGAGTAGATGTTGGCATTGAAGTCCAAGTCAGCAGTTTCTCTGCTCCAAACAAAGTAGTGCTGAGTGAGGGGGCTAAGCTTTTATGTTCATGACTAACCAGAGAAATGCAGGGGGAATTTTAATCCATCAGGCTTGGGACTAGGAAAGAAGACCAGTGGTGTTATTAGGGTCCAACTGTCATAGCTGGTATAGACAGTCGGCTTTGGAGTGTGTTCATGGACAAATGGGGGGCGTGGGGGAGGGGTGTGTGGTGGAACGCGTCACAGAATTGTGTAAAATAATTGGAATAATTATTCGTCTTTAACACCTAAGCCGGTGGCCCTAACCAGCAGTGACGCACTGCAGCGGCGCTGAACCCTGGGTAAGAAAACCCGGCCAGCACCGGCTCTGTTTTGGAAATGTTCTAGAGCCAGTTAACACAGCGCCTTTTTAAGCCTCGCTTGCTACGTGTGGGGAGAGAAACACATAGCCTTTTATTAGGAACACGAAGCAAGCCCTTTGGGCTGCGGCATCATGGAGGGTGAGTTTAATTGCTAGGATTAATAAATCACAGCTGCAGAAGTTAAATTCTTGGCAGGATACTTTACTCAGCTGCCTTGCCCTGGCCCCATTACATTCCAGGTTGATGGTCTGCGTTATGTCCGGAGCCGGCCGTCAGCTCGTGCTCGTCCTCTGCGGCTGTTGGGTGATGGCCCTGGGGGTCCACGCCGGCCCGCGCCTTGGGGCTGAGCAGCTCCAGGCCGAATCCTACGTGGCCGCCGTGTTCGAGCACCGGTCTGTGCTCAGCCCCGACCCGCTCGCCCTCACCAGCCGCCAGCAGGCCTTGGAGCTCATGACCCAGAACCTCGACATCTACGAACAGCAAGTGACGGCCGCCGCGCGAAAGGCAAGACGTGCTCCTGGGTCGGAACCTCAGGCTGCCCGCAGCCGGGCCGTCAGTGGGTCCTGTGGGCCCTCTGGGAAATCAGCCCCGCGGCTACTTGGACTCGAATGAGTCAACTGTCCAGAGTCTCACTGCTGGAGAGAGGTCCCGTCCAGGGGCCAGCAGCTTCGACCTTTGCTGGAAGCTTGTGTGGAATGCAGAAGTCTCCCCGCCCCCACAGCCACTGACTAAGCATCTAACTGTGGGAGCAGAGGCTGGGGGGTGCTTTACACCCCTGTTGGAGACGCCTGGGGCTAGGTCCCTGGTTCTCTGGCAGCCAGTGAGGGAATCACCTAGCCACTTGTACAATGTGGGTGTGCCTCGGCCCCATGCCTAGCGAGTCACGTGGGGTATGGGCTGAACATTGGGGTTTTCTAAGGTGCCCCAGTGGATTCTGATGTGCAGACAAATTTGAAAACTCCTTCGTGGCCTCTCTGAGGCATTCAAGGTTAACTGAAGCACCAAGCATTCATGGCTCAGCCATTTGCCGCCTTCAGATGACTGGGACTCATTTCTGGTCTCCGTGCCAGACTCTGAACAATCTGAGACGTCAGTGCAGACAGAACCGAGCCCAAACAGACAAAGGGAGGTGGGTGCCAGCCTTTGTGAAGGCTTCCTGCCGGGCCCGAATTTCCCACTCCCTCCAGGAAGGGTGGGGCAGAGGGGAAATATCAGTGCCAGATGTTACTGTAAGAAAATACCCGGTTGGGAAACCCATAACCAAAGGGAAGTTTGGCAGCCACTGCGGCCCGGTGGTGGGAAGACCAAAGCCAGCTGTTGGAGGAAGCCTCCCCGGCCCCCGACAGGAAGTAAGCTCCCGCCGGCAACCCTCGCTGATGGCTCTGAGTTTGGAGGCCAGAACTGCTCACACCAGTGTGTCCTGCCTTGGACAGACCCTTTCTCTGCGCAAGGTGGTCAGGGTGGCTGTGATAACTATTGCCTTGCTACCTTTAACACATTCTGGCCTGTAATGTAAGCACTGTGCACGCACACATAGACACACACACACACACACACACCGCTTTGGGAAGGGAGCCGAGATCAGGCGCTCCTTGAATGCCTTCAGTAATCAACAGCTCACTTTCTCACAGGTCCCTTGTTCTAATGGAGAACAGTAGGAACGTCTGGAAAGATCTGTCAGTGAGTGAGCAGCAATCAGCCTCCCTGTCACTGTCATTCTTCGCACTGAACAGGGCAGACCAAGTTCCTTACTGCAGAGTTCCGTTGCCCCCACTAGAGGACGGCTGTCTTGGCTCCCTGCCCCCCTCCCTCTGCCTCTGTCTCCCCAGTGTCTCCCACGACCCCTTAAGAGGTGAGGTTCCTAGTCCTACCAAAGCCTCCACCCAAATTTCATGCAGTTCCTCCAGTTCTGTCTGACAAGGACAAGGTGAAGGAGCTCTGTCACCATTCTCCTGCTTGGCTTTGTCCCCAGAGGAGGAGTTTCGGCAGCCACGTCTCACCAGAGTTCTAGGCACCTGCTGTCAGGTGAAACTCCTGAGCTCACACACACACAGACGCACTCACACAGCCGGCTTTTTTAACCTGAGAGCGAGACTTCACACATGTGCTGTTCCATTTCATCACCCGGCCTGCGGGGCTACTTGGAGACTTTACTGTCCTCGCATATCAGTTACCCTCGCGTCACTCACGCCTTTTAGCCACACCTCAGTTATGCCTATGCTGAAGTCAGTGTTAACACTGCCAGGCCACAGACCTTGAGGCCCAGGCGATGTTTGCTTCTTCCTGTGCACGGGACCATTCTATTTCGCAAAGGCCACACTGTAGCACGTACAGCCTTTGTCTTCATAACGTACCCCAAAAGGAAACAACAGGTTCTTGTGGACACCCCCCCACCCCACCCCCACCCCCCACTGAAGGCAAAGCTTCACTGTTGGTGGCCAAGGGGCAGGGGCCCAGTGTTTGACTTGGTCGCTATTGGTGCTGAGGTGTGTCAGGTCCCCTGTGTGGTTCAGGCATTAAAGCGGATTGTAAGACAAGTTGATGACAAGCGTGCGTCATCATTTTACATCAAATGTTCGCTCAGGGAAGAGGTTCCCAGACAAGTCAGTTGAAGCATCACTGGCGTGGTCGAGGCAGGGAAGGGAAAGAGCTTAGAGTCACCTCGGCAAGTGACTCCTCTGGAGTGCTGCATTTCAGCGAGGTCTGTCAGAAAATTGCTCAGATTGTTTATCAGGCATGCTCATTATGCCTGGAAGGGGTTGCTGATCACAGCAGACCTCAAGTCGTACCCCCACTCATATTTGATTCCTCCCCTCATCCCTGGACAGTTTGTCTTCAGGAAATTTGCAATTTAACATTGATCTAATGTATAGACACAGTGGCATAGTCCGTAAGGAAGCATTCTCTGCTCTCTCTTATTTGTAGACAAGGAAAATATTTGTCTAAATGTAATTTTGGAAAAGTTTAGAATATGGCAAATACAGATTTTCTTTATTCACTAACTAAGGGAGAAAGCAGTGAATCGGTAAAGCTGGTTCAAAGAGAACTGGCGACTCTCCAATTGTGTAGCAGTCAGTGAAATGAATGTTGAAATCAATTTATTAATGAATACAAGACTGGCGAATATCCGGCAGGGCAATAAGATTGTAATCTTTGGGGGGATCTCCCTAAATACCAAACAGTGCTACGTCCACAACGTCAGCTAAGCCTGTTAAGACAGACCCCGCATATCTTGGCAAAGCTTGCAGTGTTCCTTTTGCTTTTTTTGTTTTGTTTTGTTTTTATTTGAAGTAACACTGCATCATTTCTAATGTGTGCTAATTTTGCTGTATAGTGTCATACGACAGCCAATCACCCGCAATGATGTAGGGAGGATACTATGGTGTAAGCTATTTGGCAACAGGCGAACAACTTACAGTTTTTTATACTCTGACCCAATATTTTCGTTTTTTTAAGACATCAAAGAAATAATCAGAAATTCAACCAAAAATTTCTGTGCAACCCTCTTTCAATACGTGTTTTAGGCACCTTGTATGCACATGTCTTCACCATTTTATTACAAAAATTTGGAAAGTGTTCAAGTATCTGATAATAGATGATAAACCCTGGTGTCCTCTTAAGTGTAACATGGCTGCACATACATAGTGGAAAGTGACGCTAGAACAGCACATACTTGATACTACCTCAGTCATGCACACACCCACACAGAGAAACAATGAAAACAGCCAAGACATTACAGTGGGTATCTTCATCTTGTAGGAGACTGAAATCTTTACATTTTCTGTTTTCCACATGTTCTCCGGTTAAACTTTTGAAGCTTTTATAACCAGAGGGGAAAATAAGAGTTTGCAGAGCATTCCAGAAATAAGTGATTCAGATCGCCTGTTAGTTGAGATTATTCATGCTTGTGCTGTCTTCCTCCTCCAGCTCCACACTGGGGCCAATGTTCCAGGCGTGACATTTGAAGCTGCGTAAGCCGAGGGCAGCGGCCGGTGAGGGCCTGGCGAAGGGAGCTCAGTGACTCAGGGGATCCTCTTGATTCCCAATCGGGGAGTTAGTTATGCATTAGAACGAGTCCTTATTTCGAAGCTAAAATCAACACCCTTGAGTCTCCCCCACCAGCCCCGGGGTCCCAACCCTGACTGCACATTAGAATCACCTGGGGACCTTTAAGCAAACAGTTGCCAGCATCCCTCCCCACCAGTCTGGTCCTGTCAAGAAACCTTTTAGAAGTGGGTCTCTGTAGCACCCTAAACATTTCAGAAGTTGCCCACCTGAGTTAGAGGCATAGTAATTAATGGCCTGATTATTTGTGCCTTGTATCTTCCGTTGCACGAACGAGGACTCCACCCGCTCCCGACTGTTTGCTTGGCAAGCTTCCGCTGCTCCAGCCACTCTCTCCTGACCTGACCTCAGGTTCAGTTCATTATTGATCCTAAAGGACTTTGCCTTGTTCCCGCAGCATTAGTCCAGAGGCTCATTGAATTAGGCCAAGACTAAGCCCTCTAATGAGAGTCCAGCCACACTCGTTTCACCTCTGACTCCTGGTACAGAACACCGGCTGGTTGGTCACCAGAAGGGAGCGTGGAAGAATGGAGAATGAACTGGGGGTGGGGGGTGGGGGCTCCCATGATCTGATAACAAACTATACTTTGATGTTTGAGTTTACAGGGTGTACAAATTATAGTGTTTCCAGAAGATGGGATTCACGGATTCAACTTTACAAGGACATCCATCTACCCGTTTTTGGACTTCATGCCATCTCCGCAGTTGGTCAGGTGGAACCCGTGCCTGGAGCCCCACCGTTTCAATGACACAGAGGTGGGTGAGGGCGCCAGTCTGCCTTTCTCCTCTGTCTTCAGAGCTGAGCTACACACAGCTGGGCCACGCCAGGGACCAAAGGCTGAGCATGTTGAATGTCAGAGAGACCCAAGGGTCCTGAAAATCAAAGCCAAATTCCCTAACGGCCACATGCCACATTCATTCCATTAAAGGACGCCTGATATTACTAAGCTTTTATTCCGCTGTGACTCACTCTACTGATTGTTTACACAGAAATACATGAATATAGGCTTATAAAACAAACAAAAGAAAAAGAAAAGCACGAAAGCCCACCCTCCCCACCCCACCCCCGTGCTGCTTCCCTTTCTAGAGAAACTTTGACAGTCTGATGTCCACAACTGTGTTCTTTTCTCTGCGTTTCATAGTTACTGGCATCCTCTTTAGGAGCATACTGTGAGCTTGTTTTAAAACTCTTGCTGTTACCAACACTATTGCAATGCATATCCTTTCCCCATACACGTATTTTTAAACAGAAGAGGTAAGCTTCCTGGAAATGGACTTTCTCAGCTGAAGGATGGGCGCATTTTGTTATTTCAGTGGTACCGAAGTTCACCTTGAAACCTCCTGACGCCACACCAGCAAGGGTGTCAGGTGCCTGTTTTCCCACCCTTTGATCAACGCAAGAGAGAGTAATTTTTTTAATTTTGCCAATGTTAAAAAGGTGAAAATAGGGCCGCCCTGGTGGCGCAGGGGTTAAGCCTCAGCCCTATGAAGCTCTCAGCAGCCCCTGCAGCGCCAGTTTGATCCCGGGCCAGGGCCAGCGAGCTGACCCACAGCAGACCTCTCTGTCCGCCCGCTGCTCCCCTCGGCAGCGTGTTTCAGTCCATCTGCCTGTTCTGCTCCCCACTCTGTCTCTGGTGACTCCTCGCACCACCCCTGTACCCCTGGCCTACACCCCACTGTGCACTCCTGTATGCATCAATAAATAAAATAAATCTTCATTAAAAAGGTGAAAATAACTCATTTTAACTATCATGTTCATTTTACTAAGGGTTGAGCAGCTTAGATGTTCACATTTGTTTTTGTTCTCCTCCGAACCCCCTATTCTTGTTCTTTGCCCCTTTTCAGCGCTGGCTGCTTTCACTGGTTTGTCACGCTGCCCCTGTGACGGAGGCACAGCAGGCCCTCTCCTGTTGCAGAACGGAAGCCACAGCACGGGATTTTAAGCGCGTTTACTTACGCCTGTTTTTCTTCAGGTGCTCCAGCGTCTGAGTTGCATGGCCATCAGGGGGAGTATGTTCCTGGTGGCCAACCTTGGGACAAAGCAGCCTTGCCACAGCAGCGACCCAGGGTGCCCACACGACGGCAGGTACCAGTTCAACACGAATGTTGTGTTCAGCAGCAATGGAACCCTTGTCGACCGCTACCGCAAACACAACCTCTACTTTGAGGCGGCCTTCGATACCCCCCTCCAGGTGGACCACACCGTCTTTGACACCCCTTTCGCTGGCAAGTTTGGCGTCTTCACGTGCTTTGATATACTGTTTTTCGAGCCCACCATCAGGCTGCTCAGGGACTATGAGGTGAAGCACATCGTGTATCCGACCGCCTGGATGAACCAGCTCCCACTCCTGGCAGGTATTCAGATTCAGAGTGCTTTCGCCGTTGCCTTTGGGGCCAACATCCTGGCTGCTAACATCCACCATCCGTCGCTGGGGATGACGGGAAGTGGTATACACACCCCTCTGAAGTCCTTTTGGTACCACAACATGGAAAACCCCGAAGGTCGCCTTCTAGTCGCCCAGATCGCCAGCAACCCAGTGGGCTTTGGTGCGGATAATGCCACGGGGGACACAGACCCATCCCATCGGAAATTTCTGAAATTACTGGCAGGAGACCCGTACTGTGAGAAGGACGCTCAGGAAGTGCATTGCGACGGAGCCGCCCCCTGGAGCGAGCACGCCCCCCCGACCTTTCACGCCGAGATGATGTACGACAACTTCACGCTGGTGCCCGTGTGGGGGCAGGAGGGCTATCTCCAGGTGTGTGCCAGCGGCCTCTGCTGCCATTTGCTTTACCAGAGGCCCACGCAGTCCTCAGAGCTGTACGCCCTGGGCGTCTTCCACGGCCTTCACACCGTGCACGGCACGTACTACATCCAGGTGTGCGCTCTGGTCAAGTGCGGGGGCCTGGGCTTCGACACCTGCGGGCAGGAGATCACGGAGGCCGCGGGGCTCTTTGACTTCCACCTATGGGGGAACTTCAGCACTTCCTATATCTTTCCTCTGTTCCTGACCTCAGGGATGACCCTGGAGAGGCCTGACCGGCTCGGCTGGGAGAATGAGCATTATTTCCTCAGGAAGAGCAGACTGACTTCTGGCCTGGTGACCGCGGCTCTGTACGGGCGGTGGTATGAGAGGGACTAGAGGACGGGGCCGCACAGCGGCAGGTGGGGGCCGCACAGCGGCAGGGCCCGGCCCCCGCCAGAGCCCGTGGGAGCCCTGGGTGCTGCAGGAGAAAGAGAGGTTCCCCGGGGCCTCTTCCTCGGACTTACAAATTATGGAGACATTTTATGGTATTTTCTACTCATATTTGTCTTTTTCAAGTCACACCTGCCCTTAGCAAACCTCTCTCTACACAATTGGATTTAAGCACAAACCAAAAATAAATGCCCATTTCTGTCTCACACATGTGTAAAGCTGTGTTTTCTTTGTTCCTGTCAATCAAGTGGGCCAGACAAATTTTCAGACAACTCCCAACATTTTCTAAGGAAAGAAACAGGCTTTTTAAAAATAATTTTTTAAAAAGATTTATTTATTTCTGCATACAGAACCGGGGTACAGGCCAGAGGCTCAGGGGCAGCGAGAGGCTTCATCAGAGACAGAGTGGGGAGCAGAACAGGCAGAGCGACAAAGTACACTGCCGAGGGGAGCAGCGAGACAGGAGAGATCTGCTGTGCCGTGTGGGTCACCCCGGGGTGGGGATCAAACTCACACTGGCGGCTGCAGCCAGCTTGCAGTGCTGCATCCTAACCCGTTGTACCACCAGGGAGGGTCCAAGAAACAGACTTGTAAAGCAAAAGTTGTGTGGCAAGTGGCAGCCCTGGGGGTCTCTCCCTTTCTGCCCACCAGAATGCTTGGAGGGAATGGTAATGCCAGAGCTCCCGGCCATGCCAGGAGTGTGGTCCTGGAAGTAGCTTCTAAAATTGGACGGGGCTTTTTTTTTTTTTTTTTTTTCCATATCTGCCTTTCCTCAGTAAACAGAATGTGTCAAGCAAGACTGGTAATAACTGGAAAGAAATGCAGTGCAGGGGGGAGGGAGAGACTGGAAAAAAGTGCTGAAGAGAAGGGCAGCAGGGGAAGGTCTGAGTAACAGGATCCCTTGTACACAGTGTCTCCTGCAGGCTTCCAGAGGCCCCAGTAAATCACACTGGCTTTGGGAAGAGCTTTGCAGCTGCCACAGGTGCAGGACGGAATGATCCTGGTTCAATCCATTGCGCGGGCCCACGGGGGGCCTTTGCTTTGCAGGGGCACTGTGTCTCTCATGAAGAGAAGCTGCCAGAACTGCCTTGGCAGGGGCCCACTTTAGGCACCCACTTACCAATCACTCCACAGGTGCTTCTGGAGCACCACCAGGAAGACAGCTCCACTATTAGTTCCAGATACAAAATCATAGTCAATGTGTGAGGACATTTTTGGGCTGCTGATTTCAGTATTGCTTGTTTCCGACATTTCAGAGTCAGTTTGACTCAGTGCCTAGTAACTGTTTAACTGTTTCAGATCGTTTTTAAAGTAGCAAATTGATAATTTTAAAAGAGAATGGATAAGTAGGCCTTGGTGATTCGTCTTCTCATCGTGGTAGCTATTTAGTTCTATCTTTTAAAATTATGTGCCTACTTATAATGCTAGAAAGTAAAAAGCCAAGATCTTCCCCCTCCTCCCCCTGCAGCGTGGCCTTCCAGAGCCTTTTCTGGCCTTTAGGGTCTGTAACCAGCACAAGCCTCAGGGGCAAAGTGACCACATTTCCTCTCAGTTTATTTAATCCTTAGGCCTGCCTTTCTCATCTGTCTGATGTGTGTGGAGTAATCCTTGTGGGAAAGCGGCAAGGCCCGGCTGACTCACGCTCACTCTCCAGAGCCTGGAGTGAGTCAAGTCTCCAGGGAATAAGCAGGAACAACCCCATTCCTGAGGAAGCCCTGGGGAGTCCCCCTGGAACGAGCTGGACCTCTCCCACCAGATGACAGGCCTCGCCGGCCCTCCCTGTGCAGACCCTGCCAGGACCAGGCAGCCGCAGGCAGCGGGTGGCTCCGGATGTGGCTGTCTACCGCCCATGGGCTTCCCCGCCCCAAACCCCAGGGAAACAGAAATGATCTTAAAAATGCATATTGCTGCTTCCTACCGGAATGATTCCAACCAGCTCCCGAAATAGACAGGGCAGTTCCAAGTACAGATTTGATGTACTTGGACTACTTTGAACTACTTTGCCCAACAGACATTCCCGAAGCACCTGCTGGATGCAGATCCTGCCTAGAACACGCCCCATTACTTTCTGCTGATCATTTAGAACTCATGAAGAAAATGAAGGAACTGGTGGCTGAACACAGCTGCGAGGCAGCTGGAGAGGGTGGAAGATGGGAAAATTGGTCAAATAAGTTAACGTCAAGGGGGAAAAGCCCTTGTGTTTTTGTCCACTGTGATCCCGATGCCAGGACGCCACAGCACGCTTCACCAGGACGCACACAGGTGGGCCATCAAATGTGTTTTTGGTGACTCAGGCTCGGGCAAGTGGTTTGGACCCTCCCTTCTTGTGTAGGCACAGCTGTGCCTCTCTGTGGTTTGCTCCAGGAAGGAAGCAAGAAGCACGGGGAGCCAAGCTCACACTGGGCTGGAAAAGACCAGTTCCTAAAGAAGGCGACCCCAGGCCCGACCCCAGGCCCGACCCCATGCTCCCCCGCAGGAGCCCCACCCCTGCGCACCCAGCCCTGACTCCAGCCTGGGCCTGCCCTGCAGAGGGCGCGAGCGCACCTGGGCTGCCCTTCGGCCAGGTGTTCCACTCAGCACGGTGCTCCGCCCCTGCACCAGCTCATTGGGCCAGGAGCGGACACCTGACCCGAGCCCGGCCATTCCGGGGGCGGGGAGGCGGCCTTGGAGGTGGCCAAGTAGTTTAACTCCGCGCAGGGCGGCCCACGCTGAGGGGTGCTCAGCTTCCGGGGAGACGTGCTAGTACCCCAACACCAGCCTCCCACTAGCTGGACACGTCACTTCGCCAACAAAATGACTTTACAACAAAACTGGCTTAAAGCCGTGGGGCTCACGCCTCAGTTTACCCACTTGGCCTGGCTCTCGGCGCAACGCCTCGCCCTGCCTCGCCTTGAGGGCTCGGTCGAGGGCGTGACGGCGCGTGGCGGCCACAGCAGGGCCCCGGCCCCCAAGGTGGTCACTACAGCCCCCCAGCCTCGCGGGCCCTGGCCGTCGGCCTGGGTGGGGGGCAGCGCGGTTGGGCCACAGCGGTGGCCGTGCCTGGCGCGTGCTGAGCGGATCCCGCCCCGGCGTGTGGCCGCCTCCAGGTGAGTGGGCGGCGCGGCGGGTGGCGGGTTGCTGGCACGTGCCTCTGGCGAGCTCGGCGCCCATGGGAGCCACGAGTGCTGGCCTGAGCGGGCCGACTGCCCGCCCGCTTGGCCGCCCGAGCGGCTGGCTGGCTGGGCGGCGGCGGGCCTGCTGCCCTGCCGAGGGTGGGCCCCCTTGAGCCCTGCCACGTGCTCTGGCCACTTGGTCGGCGTGTTGGGGCGCTTCTCCCCCTCGGCCCTGTCAGGGCTGTGTGTGGGTATTAAGTGGACGCCGGCAGCGGGACATGAGCGAGAGCCTAGAGCTTCCCAAGATGGCGCCCGCGGGCGGCTCCTGCCCAGCTGGCCCCTGAGGCTTGTTGCGTCTCGCGGCGAGGCTGGTGCGCGTGGGATCCCTTCACCTGAGGGCCGCCGCGTTCTCTACTTCCCTCAACTTTCCCGCGTTTGTCTCCTCAACAAGTCCTTGAAGCGGGGTGCGGGGGACCGGTGCTATGTTGGATTGAAGGGGTGGGGTGCAAAGCCTCGCACCTTAGGGGCGGCTGGTCCATTGCGCTTCCCAGGGGAGAGCGTTTTTCTGACTCCCCTCTCCCTTGGGTGCTGCCTTTTTAATCTTTCGTTGTGGGATCTTTGTCAGGACTTCAGAGCTTCCGGGGAGACTGATTCATGCGTAGTGGAGATTTGGGCTTATTTCCTGCTGTCCTCAAAGTCAGAATCAGCTATCTCTGCTCCAGGTTTTGAAGGGTGAAGAGCACCAGGCGGGTGTTCTCAGGGGGGTTGGGTGGGGGAGGGGAGAGAGCAACACAGAGGGTCCACACTGAGCAGATCATGGCGGCTCCGAAGTTGAAGTTCTGGAAGAGGCCTAGAGTGGTCAGGAATACCTCCCGTCTCCAGAATTTACTCGTTTATCTGAACCACTCAAGACAGTCACCCATCCACCTAGAAGAGTGTAGACCAGTGTCCTGGAAGCCAGTAGCACCTGGGGCTTTGCTAGAACTACAAAGCCTGGCGCCCCACCTAGACCTGCTGAGCCCCAAGGCTGGGTTGGAGGAGCCCTCCAGGTGCCCTGGTCCCGAGCAAGTAGGAGGCCCGCGCAGGTGTGGCTTCAGCACCCGCCCCTCACGCCTGCCTCTGAAACAGACAGGTGCGCCCAGTTTACAGAAGAGGGAACTGAGGCTGGCAAGTGCCCTGTCCAAGCTCATCCACCCCAGCAACAGAGTCACAGCCGGACGCTCCCACCCCAGGGCCTGGGCACACTGGGGTCTTCACCCTCCCGCTCTCCCTCTTCTCGTGCTAGTTGTCAACCCATTATTACCCTTTCTGCTGAAGTTCTGCCATCCAGACGTGTGACTCTCCTTTCGTGTTCTTCGACCAAAGGCAAATTAGTGGGGAAACTGCCCTTCATGAGGTTGTTGTTATTTGGAAAGTGCATGGGCGGCTTTATAGGCTGGCAGAAATCTTGTTGAGCCGATCAATTTGTTTGCAGTTGTTTTTTTCGGAGAATAATGCCTTTGTTCAGCTCCAGAGTGGGTAGACTGGAAGTGCACACTTTTGAAATCTTCTAATCTGGTGCGTCAACATTTTGAAGACTATAATGGGGGCTGATTCTTGGTTTTGTGCTTGCTGGACATGTCGATCCTGACCCTGCCACTGTGTCCCAGTCAACTGACTCATTTTGTCAATACTTTTAAGAGATGGAATTTCTGATATATTATCACCTGATTTTGCTGACTGAAATGCTAGAAGCTGTGCCCTTTAACCTTGATCAGTAATTTATGAATTTTTTCATGTATAAGTTGGTTACTACAGAGTACGGATGTGTTAATTAAAGGCAGGCTGCCGTAAAGGCAAAGACACCACCTTTCTCATTTCCACGCTCTAAATACAGCCCCAGAAGGCGTAAATGATCAGCTTTTTACATTCTCTGAGCACTAGGACGTGGTGACTGAGATATGCACCATTGATTTGGAAGAGCTGCCGGGCTCTAAAATAATTGCTGAATGATCGAAGAAAAGGTACTTACAACAGAATATATCTGGAGGGCTTGTTTCTTAAATGTTGATTCTACTGTGGCTGTGGTATACTTGGCATAAAATCAGGTGTGAAAAGTGAGCGTTGCTCAGTGT